GGGCGGGGGGGGGGGGGGCGGGGGGGGGGGGGGGGGGGGGGGTGGGGGGGGGATAGAGTCACGTGCGTGGCGGAACCGGGGTCACGTGACCCCGGCCAGGTGTCCCCGTGTGTGCCACGTGCCCGCCAGCAGTCCCCACGTGTCACATGACCCCCCCCACCCCGTGACCTTCCCTGGGTGTCCCACGGGTGTCCCGTGACCCCCGTGACCTCCCCCAGGTGCTCTCCAGGTGTGACACGGCGGGGCCGCGTGACTGACAGGTGTCCCTGAAGTGTCCCACGTGTCCCCAGCTGTGTCCACGTGTGTGCCCAGGTGTCCCTGAAATGTCTCCAGGCGTGCCCAGCTGTCTCCAGGTGTCTCCCGGTGTCTCCAGGTGTCTCCAGGTGCCCCCATGGCCGCCGCTCGCCTGGGCCGGCCCCTGCCGGGCTCCTCGGTGCTGTTCTTGTGCGACCTCCAGGAGCGGTTCCGGAGCTCCATCGCCGCCTTCCCTCAGATCGTGGCCGTGGCCGCACGGATGCTCCAGGTGGGCACACCAAAAACAGCCCAAAAACACCCCAAATGCGCCTAAAGAAACACCAAAATCCGCCCCAAAACAAACCCCAAGCACTCCCAAAATCATCTCCGAAACCCTCCCCAAAATGCCCCAAAAACCCTCCCTAAACACCCACAACCTCCTCTCCTAAAAACTCCAAAATCCTCCCATGAACACCCCTCAAGAATACCCCAAACACACCCAAAAATTACCTCTCAGTTCTCCCCAAAAAAACCCCAAAAACCCTCCGTGAGAAACCCCCAAAGCCCCTTCCAAAACCTCCCAAAAGTGCCCCCAAAACCCCTAAAAACCACCCAAAAAAACCCCCCCAAAACCCCTGAACGTCCCTCGCTTAGGGCTGCCGGATTTTGGGGGTGCCCGTGCTGGTGACAGAGCAGCGCCCGGATGTTTTGGGGCCCACGGTGCCAGAACTGGGGGCACAGGACCTGCCCCGGATCCCCAAAACCGCCTTCAGCATGGTGGGGGCGGCCGCGCCCCTCCTGGGGGACCCCAAAATCCGCTCCGTGCTCCTCTGCGGCATCGAGGCTCAGGCCTGCATCCTGGTGAGGGCACCCCAAAAACCGGGGGGTGGTCTGGGGGCTCCTGGGGGGAGATTTGGGGAGGGAACCCCAAAGTCAGGTGGTTTTGGGGGGGGTTCTAGAAGGAGTTTTGGGCAGGGAGCCGAAATTTGGGGGGCGTTGTGGATGGTTTGGTTGGTCCTGGCGGGGAGTTTTGGGGAGGGAACCCCAAATTTTTGGGGTGGGGAATGGGAGGGACCCCGGGAACCTCCAGAAAACCCCCGGATTCACCCCAAAATCTGGGGGAACCCCCAAAGCAAACGACGCTGGACCTGCTGGAGCGGGGGCTGGACGTGCACGTGGTGGCTGACGCCGTCTCCTCCCGCAGGTTTGGGGCGATTTCGGGGGATTTGGGGAGTTTCGGGGGCTTTTGGGGTCTTGGGGGGTGTTGGGAGGGGTCTGGGGGGAGTTCTGGGGGTGATTTTGGGGGAGGCTCTCAGGTGTGTTTGGGGAGGATCCCAGGGGTCTCTGCTGTATTTTGGGGGGGGGGGG